AGCTAAATACTTCACGAAATTGGATCTCAGGTCGGGCTACTACCAAGTGCGTATTGCAGAGGGTGACGAGCCTAAAACTACTTGTGTGACGAGGTATGGGGCTTTTGAATTCCTCGTGATGCMTTTTGGATYAACGAATGCCCCTGCCACGTTCTGTACTATGATGAATCAGGTCTTTCACGAATATCTCGAYCAGTTTGTGGTAGTCTATCTAGACGATATAGWGGTATAYAGTCCRACGCTGAAAGAACACCAGATCCATCTCAGGTTGGTCTTCGACAAACTAAGGCAGAATCAGCTATACGTAAAGAAGGAAAAGTGTGCGTTCGCACAAAAGCGGATCACGTTCCTTGGCCACGTGATCGAACAAGGGCAGATCGGTATGGACACAGATAAGGTAAAGGCGATCCAAGAATGGAGAGTCCCTACCTCTGTGACCGAGTTGCGCTCCTTCTTAGGGTTGGCCAACTACTACCGACGATTTATCGAAGGATTCTCAAGGAGAGCCACCCCAATGACAGAGTTACTGAAGAAAGGAATGACCTGGATGTGGTCGAAGGAAAGTCAGGACGCCTTCGAAGATCTAAAGGCGGCCATGATGAAAGGCCCAGTACTTGGGCTAGCCCACGTGACGAAGCCGTTTGAAGTAGAAACRGACGCTTCAGACTACGCTTTAGGTGGTGTCCTTCTCCAAGACGGTCACCCGATCGCTTACGAAAGTCGCAAGCTGAATAATGCGGAACGACGTTATACCGTATCAGAGAAAGAAATGCTAGCAGTCGTTCACTGCCTCAGGTCTTGGAGGCAGTACTTGTTGGGCTCATATTTTGTGGTAAAGACGGACAACAGTGCAATCTGCCACTTCTTCAATCAGCCTAAGCTAACATCCAAAYAGGCCAGGTGGCAGGAATTGTTAGCCGAGTTTGATTTTAAGTTCGAACACAAGGYAGGAAAGTCCAACCAAGCTGCCGACGCTCTTAGCCGTAAAGGAGAACATGCGGCCMTRTGCATGTTAGCCCACATTCACGCCAGCAAAGTGGACGGGTCGATCCGTGACCTCATTAGAGARTATCTTCAAARAGACCCCTCCRCCCRATCTGTGGTCGAGCTGGCTAAGACCGGGAAGACCCGCCAGTTCTGGGTTGAAGGGGACCTATTATTTACAAGAGGAAACAGACTGTACGTGCCAAGAAWGGGAGACCTGAGAAAGAARCTCCTACATGAGTGTCACGATACTCTATGGGCTGGTCACCCGGGGTGGCAACGGACTTGCGCCTTGCTGAAAAAGGGGTACTTTTGGCCAAATATGCGGGAAGATGTGATGCAATACACGAAGACCTGTCTTATCTGTCAGCAAGATAAGGTAKRAAGGACTAAAATAGCAGGGTTGCTTGAACCCCTACCAACTCCTACGAGACCATGGGAGAGTGTGTCGCTCGACTTCATCTCTCACTTRCCYAAGGTAGGAGAACATGAAGYCATTCTTGTCGTTATTGATCGATTTTCCAAATATGCAACTTTCATTCCGACTCCCAAGACGTGTTCYGCCGAGCTGACGGCGCAGCTGTTCTTTAAACATATAGTAAAGCTATGGGGAGTTCCGACGAGCATCGTTAGCGACAGGGATGGCCGATTTACAGGAACCTTCTGGACGGAACTTTTTTCTATTCTRGGTTCAARCTTGAACATTTCCTCGAGTTATCACCCACAGACYRATGGTCAGACARAGAGATTCAAYAGCATGCTTGAGGAATACMTGCGTCACTTCATCGATGCCAGACAAAAGAACTGGGTCCAGCTGTTAGATGTGGCTCAATTCTGTTTTAACGGYCAGACAAGTTCTTCAACAGGAAAGAGCCCCTTTGAGATTGTGTGCGGAAGACAGCCGTCTATGCCACATATTCTTGACCACCCGTATGCGGGGAAAAGTCCTAAAGCCCACAACTTCACAAAGGAATGGAAGCTGAGGACAGAAATTGCTCGAGCATATTTGGAGAAAGCTTCCAAGCATATGAAGAAATGGGCCGACCGCAAGAAACGCCCTCTCGAATTTCGAGTAGGCGACAAAGTTCTTATCAAGCTGAGGCCAGAACAGATTCGTTTCCGAGGACGCAAAGACCAGAGACTCGTGAGAAAGTACGAGGGACCCGTGGAAGTCGTTAAGAAGGTGGGGAGTGTCTCGTATAAGGTGGTGTTACCAGCTTGGATGAAGATTCACCCGGTGATCCATGTGAGCAATTTAAAACCTTACCACCCCGACCTYGAGGATGACRAAYGYAATGCTGTTGTGCGGCCTGCCATCGACTTCAAAYGGAAGGAAGACAAAGAAGCAGAAGAGATCCTTGCAGAGAGAACCAGAAAGGTGGGGAGACYYGTTCGAAMAGTTCGAGAATTCCTCRTCAAATGGAAGGACCTACCTGATGCAGAGACCAGYTGGGAACGAGAAGAAGACCTTGAAGCCTGGAAGACGAAGATCGAGGACTTCAAGCTGCAGCAGTTGACAGGGACGTCAACCGTTTAAGTGGGGGAGAATGTTGTGGGCATGCTTGTCCAGGGTGTGTTACCCATGGCCGCATGTCCAAACCATYCTCACCACTCGCTTTCCTTTCATGTCTTTAAAGCTTTCTAGTGTAATTTTCTTGYATCRGGTTTTTGGGGTTGTAGGTGGAAKTTGGCCGAGCGGCTTTGGAACTAGGTGTGTATTAGTAAGATATGTAAGCACGCCAAATTTCAAGCCAATCGGAGTTCACACGGGCCCTGTAGGCCACCGAGTGACTCCTCGCCACTTARGACGTCTACACCTGCCACACCAAAAATGCCTTATAATGTACCTTAGGGGGGRCCAAGTAGTCATCAAACCTCCCCCCGACCAAGTGTTGTATACTTTCTTGCAATCAAAGCTTTCTTGCATCCAATGTCTACAATGCTTGTTTTAAAGATGTTT